AACATTTTCATCCCTCGATATCTGTATGACCTTCCAAGTTTGGAATTGCTTTATCAGTTCCCGTACCTTTTCCAAGTACTGTTGCATCCTTGCTTCCCTAGCTGTGTAAGTCCCCAGCATTTGATTAACCACGAGCTGCGAGTCACTTTTGATCACTACTTGATTTATACCAAGTTCTCGTGCCAATTCTAAACCTGCAATCACAGCTTCATACTCCGCTTCATTGTTAGTTACGGAATGACATTTAATAGCTTGCCTAATAGTTTCACCTGTAGGTGGTACTAAAACAATTCCTAATCCTGCACCTTTTACGTTAGATGAGCCATCAGTAAATAAGGTCCATGTTCCTGGATTAGCCCCATTAAGTACTTGTACTTCTTTTTCTGCTTCTAATTGCATCCCTTGGCTAAAGTCAGCGACGAAATCAGCTAATATCTGTGATTTTATTGCTGTTCTAGGTAAGTACGTGATTTCATATTCACTTAGCTCTATGGCCCATTTAGCTAACCTTCCTGACAATTCATGTTTATGCAATATATTACGTAGGGGGTATGCAGTCACTACAACAATGGGATGACATTGAAAGTAAGGTCTTAACTTCCTAGATGCCATGATTAGAGCAAGTGCTAATTTTTCCAATTGTGGATACCGTGTCTCTGCATCTAACAAAGATTTACTAACATAATAGATAGGAGATTGTTTACCCTGCTCTTCTCGAACCAAAACCGCGCTTACCGCAACTTCTGAAACAGCAAGGTAGATGAAAAGTTTCTCCCCAGCCTTGGGTTTTGCTAGCAAAGGTGGATTTGACAAGTATATTTTCAAATCCCTAAGTGCTTGTTGACACTCCTCATCCCATTCAAAATGATCCTGCTTCTTAAGAGCCGAGAAGAATTTAAAACATTTTTCCGATGATTTAGAAATGAACCTTCCCAAAGCTGCGATTCTTCCTATTAGTCTTTGAACCTCTTTCTTGTTGGAAAGTATATCAAGAATTTCTTCAATGGCCTTAATCTGTGCAGGATTCACTTCAATGCCACGGTTAGAAACAAGAAACCCTAAAATCTTACCTGATGTCACACCAAATGCACATTTTTCTGGATTCAACTTCATATTATATTTTCGTAAAATTTTAAACGTATCAGATAGGTGCGATATATGATCTTTTGAATGTTGAGTCTTAACTAGCATATCATCTATATATACTTCCATGGTTTTACCTAAATGTTCTTGAAACATTTGGGTGACCAACCTTTGATACGTTGCACCTGCATTCTTAAGACCGAAGGGCATTACCTTGTAATAGTAAGTCCCCCTATCTGTTATAAAAGAAGTTTTTTCTTCATCTCCTGGATCCATCTTGATTTGATTATAGCCTGAATATGCATCTAAAAAACTTAATAGCTCATGCCCTGCAGTAGCATCAATTAACTGATCTATGTGCGGTAAAGGAAAGGAATCTTTTGGACAGGCTTTATTAAGGTCTGTGTAATCTACACAGACTCGCCACTTACCGTTCTTCTTAGGAACCACAGCAGTATTAGCTAACCAGTTAGGATATTTTACCTCACGAATAGCAATTTTGAACTTCCTCTTGAATCACCTTATTTTTGAAAGTTCCTTGCTTTCTTTTCTTTTGCTTGACGGGAGGATATGATGGATCTTCATTCAACTTATGAGTCATGACTTCCGGTGGTATCCCTGTCATGTCAGAATGGGACCAAGCAAAACAATCTGCATTAGCTTTTGAAAATTCAATCAATTTACGTTTTACCTCCGGGCTAAGATTAGCTCCTATGTACACTTTTCTCTCGGGCCAATGTATAAATAACACCACAGCCTCTAGCTCTTCTATCGTTGTTTTGATGTTCTCGTTCTCCTCCGGTTCTTGAATGGTATCAGGTCTCGAATCCACATCGTTTGCTTTTGCTCAGGTGAGGTTGACTCTGTGTTACCCTCACCTAAATTCTGTAATTGCTATTTGTCTTCACCCTTAACAGTTGAATCTGCAACGGAATTGATGCTTCTAGATGTTTGTTGATCGCTTCTGATTTGACATATTTCCCATGGAGATGGAAATTCAATAACTTGATGTAAAGTTGAAGGAACAACTTCCATGTCATGAACCCATGGCCTCCCAAGAATCATATTGTAAGCCATTTCTATATCTACAACTTGAAATTTGGTATCTTTAACGACGCCTTCTGCGAATGTAGTAAGTATTGCCTCCCCTTTTGTTACAACACTAGAGTTATCAAATCCCGACAAAGTATGCGCCTTTGGAATTAATTTATCCTCCGCTTGCATCTCGTGCAATACTCGTATTAAAACAATGTTTACAGAACTACCTGGATCAACCAAAACTCGTTTCACGTTAGTGTCATGTACAAGTAAAGATATTACCAGTGCGTCGTTATGCGGAGTTATGAGTCCCTCGGCGTCTGCGTTGTTGAATATAACATTCTCCTCTTCCAGTACATGTCGAGCCTGCTTCCCGTGGGTAATTGTTACTTTTGAAACCTTTTTATATGATACATCATTGATCTCTTCGCCTCCACTTGTAACGTTGACAGTTCTGTTGGGCGAAGGTGGTTTTGGAGGCTCATGCCTGTTCTTCATGTATGCTTGTTTACCTTTCTCACTGAATAACTCAGTAAGATACCCCTGTTTTAACAAATGATCAACTTCACCTTGCAGAAACCTGTAATCTGCTGTTTTATGCCCGTGATCGTTATGAAATTTGCACCAATGATCAGGGTTTCGTCTGTTCGGATTCGATCACATTTCCTTTGGCCATCGTACCTTATCTCCCATGCTTCTTAAAACAGCCACGAGTTCAGAGGTGCTTACGTTGAAGTTGTAACCACCGAACCTTGCCTTTAGACTTCCATCATCGTCTCGTGACCCGCGTGTGTTCCGATCATTTCCGAACCTCGATGAGGAGCCTGATTCATTGTTTATAGGTTTGTGATCGTACCTTTGATTATGTTGCCTTGATCGTGACTCTTTTCCCGCAGGTCCCATGTATGGCTCTTACCTGTTATTACCGGATCTTTTTTCATTTTCTACACGCCTTGAGCTTACCTTTTCTTCTATTTTATGTCGTAAAATAATGTCTTCTTCAATCCTCATCTTTGTACTGTATCTGTTGTAGACATCATTCCACGTTGTTGCTGGGAATTCTCGAAGGCTTTCTTTGAGTCGCCTTGTGGCTTCTGAACTCTTCTCATTCAAATTACTAGCAAAGGCTATGGCTGCCCAATTGTCAGGTACTCGTGGCAGCGTCATTCTTTCCCGTTGAAATCTATCTACGAACTCTCTAAGCAACTCTGAGTCTTCTTGCTTGATTTTGAAGATGTCTTCCATTCGCTTTTCAGTGTGCTTTGATAAATAAATCTGCAAGCTCAGCAAACGAATTTATAGAATTTTCAGATTAAAGAGAATACCATGTTAAGGCCCCTTTAGTGAGTGTTTCACCGAATTTCTTGACCAAGACCGACTCAATCTCTTGCTTAGTCAAATCATTGCCCTTGACACCTGTTGTGAATGCAGTAACGTAATCTCGTGGATCTGATGTACCATCATACTTTGGAATATCAGGCATCTTAAACTTCTTTGGAATTAGGAGGGGATCAGCACTTGACTTCCATGGTTGTTGGGAATATTTATCTATATCTACTCCCTTGATCACGGGCGGTACTCCAGGTATTTGCTCTATGCGTTCATTTTGCTCCTTAAGCTGTTTCTGCAAGGTTAGCACTAGATTTTGTAAATCAGAATTAACTGGATTACCTGGGTCTCCCTCTTGTGTTTCACTAGGGGTTCCACCACTACCTGAATTAATCAACCCAGAACGAGGATTCTCCAAAGTATTGTTGTTTGGAGTAGATGTGGGAGGAGCAACAGGTAATTGGCTAACAAAAGCCTGAAGAGCTTTATTGACTTGAGAGGCAATAAGTTTTTGCAAAGCCTCATTCATGGTTTCGACATTTTCAAATTGAGCCTGTCCATCAGTGTGATATCCATCAGGAGTGCCTTCACGAGACCGTCATGGGGAACCTCGTGGAGAGCCTTGTGGAGAGCCTCGTGGAGAGTCTCCCTGAAATTGCTGGATTGTTTGAATTTATGGGTTCCCTTGAGTGTTGTCATTGTTGTTTGACATGATTGATGCAATCAAGAAAATTAAATTGAAATATAATTGATTATCAGATTCCCGTCAACGGAACCAATTTGTTTAACCAAAAAAATAAATTTTTAGTCAAAGCTAGAAATTAGAATAATCGGGTTACTGATAATCGAAAAAGTAAATAAAGAAAGAAATTTTAGAATAGCCAAGTATGAAAGCTGGTAAATCAAAGTATATTCCAATAGTCACCTCCCCCTACAATTGTTTGTTTCTTTCCTTTTTATAGCTCTTTTGGGATACGAGCCTCATAATAATGCTATTATGGGCAATTAATGACTTTAAATGTTACGTTATACAATCATATACATTAAATACATATTTTCTAACGTTTCCTATAATTAATACTCATTAAATACTGTATCTGGGCTCCTTTTTGTTGTTAGATTCATTCCTTTGATTCTTCACTATCTTTGAGTTTTAAATGTCTTGAATAGGTACGAGTGTTGAATTACTTGTATGACTGCTCGCACCCCCTCCATTTAATTTACTCGTATCTATTGTTGCTCGTATCTGTTAACCAACCTTATTTCTTTGACTGTTTGACTAGTCTATATGTCATGACACGTCGCCAAATACATAAATATAATTTTCCCCAATATAATGGTTTCATCCAATGAGAAGTCTCACTAAAAGAAAAATAAAAGAGAAAATTTGGGGGCCATTTCTATCCAAATACTACAACCAACTATTTCAATCTCATATTCACCTATTCAACTACCCCAAGAGCAAAATCTGTTAAGATCTTAGAAGGCAAGAGGATAATGTACCCAGGAGCCTAATATTTTAGCTGTCCTTCTAAATATTGAAGACATACCTCCATATTCCCACGCTTGACAATGCCATAATGCTGCAAATGTCGGTGACCACATCTGCGTCCTCGTTGTGGTTATCAAGCAACGTCACCAGGCAACCAAGGTCGGCAGGATTGAACTGGGTGGTGAAGTTAGTTATTGTTAGTCAAAAACAAAGCAATATGCATGCCTGACACAGTTACATTTCAACAATAAAAAAAGGAAAAAAAATATTCCAGCGGTCTTTGCATAATGCACCCATCCAACAATTTTGGTACATAGCAGGTTACACCCATTCATTTTGTTTAAAATCTTGTTTGGTGGACAGCTTTAATGAATACAGAGACTATTAGAAATTAGGCATTAGAAGCTTGGGGGTGGTAGATGTAACAGGAGTGTCTCCACTGTGAGGTACTAGGATTTCTTTCCACATGAAGGGCATAGGTGGATGGGAGTAAGTTTCATGAAGCTAGAAAGGTGGGAGAAGCGGTAGGGGTGTGTCGATCCTAAGCACAAGATTCGATAGCCATTTTGATCATATGTCTTGTTGCACGGAAAAGTCAACACTAAGACAACCACTATCGATAACTGTAGATTTACATAGGTTGCTGACTACTAGTACAATAACTTTTTTTAAAAAAAACTAAGAGTAGCTGTGTAGGAAATAAAAATAATAGCTTTGTAGCGTGCTAGTAGATGGGTCCTATGTATAGAGAACCCAGACTAAATCCAGTAGCGAACATACTCCCCGGTGATGTAGAGTCAAGAAATGAACTAAAAAGAAAAACATCAAATTGGAAGTTGATTCAGGAACATGCCAAATTATCATCTGAATGCATGCTGTTTATGATGTTTCCACCTTTCAATAATTTTATTTTGTTTTGTTTTATTTCGTTCCTATTTTCATTGGTTAATTCATCAAAGTGTTTGGATTCAAGCACGAAAGCTTCTAAAAGCTCCTTAAGACCCATGTGCCTTATGATATCAGCTCTCCTCTCTTCCAACAATACCTACAACTATTTTGAGGACGGGGATTATCACTGAAGAAGACTCGTGCCTGAAACATCAATTGATGTACATATCAGATTCAACCATAAGTTAGATATGAAAAAGTAGGTCGAATGAGGAAACTAAAACGCTCTACTCACTAGAGGAGTCCAACCAGCCAGTCATAAATATCCCAGTTATTGTGGTGTTGAATAATGCCACGTATACCATCAATACAGTAAGAAAATGCACAACATACATTTGTTAGCACCTCATCATCATCTAAAGGAAGAAGCTCTAAAAGAATATAGACTGCTGAAGTAACCCAATAAATGAATAGTAATCAGTAATGGAAAGACAAATAAGTTCGTTCTTTCATTTTACCAGATTAGAGGACCTCTGAGGGTTTATTCCAATTTCCAGCAATATGAAATTAGCTCTCTATTTGGAGCAAGCTACAAACAGAGTCTTGAAAAGCACTTAAAATTGACACATCAAGAGATATTTACATTCAAGACCTCCAATAAAATAGGAGGAATATTGAGGAAAGGCATGATATAGCTAGTGTTTTCTGCTCATTTCAAAAATAAACAAATTATTTCTTTTAAAAATTTCAAATCCAATTTATTTGACAATATTTGATAGGTCCTGAATTTAAGATATTAAATTTGACTTATCTATTACTATTAGTGATAGTAAAAAAAGAAGTTAAGCAACGACTTAGTTCGATAGAGGAAACATTACATCAAAGTTTAAAATCTGAATAGTTTAAACGGAAAAGGCCTAAAAATACCACTCAACTAACATAAATGGCCTATTTATGCCATCCGTTAAAAGGTCGCCCTATTCATGCCACTAGCGTTATACTTTTGGCCTATTTATGCCATTCTCTACTAACAGTTCCATTTTCTGATTTTTAAATAATAAGAATTAATTTTTCGACCCCGCCTTTGCCACGTGTCTTTATATTACTGGTTCTTCTTTACTTGACCCTACATTTCTTTTAACCCTGATTATGGATAATTAACCATGCCCAACCCGATAAAATCCAACCATCTTTTAACCCAACCCCTAATTCCTTGTCACGACCCAAAATCCAACTAGTCGTGATGGCACCTAACCCAACCCGCTAGGTAAGCCAATTAACAACTATCCAATTTAATGAGATTTTTTTTAGACAAATAAAAGATAAAATAACTGAATCTTAATACTTTTTCCAAGGACTGGTAGTACAAATTATGAGCTTCTAAGATTTAGATTTTTACAAACTGAATTGAAATAAACATAACATCGGTTTCAAATAAATACAAATCACTGAACACTGATCTTATCGGGTTGTGACAAGGAATTAGAGGTTGGTTTAAAAGATGGTTGGATTTTATCGGGTTATGCATGTTTAATTATACATAATTAGGGTTAAAAGAAATGTAGGGTCAAGTAAAGAAGGACTAATAATATAAAGACACGTGGCAAAGGTGGGGCCGAAAAATTAATTACTGTTAGTCGACAATGGCATAAATAGGCCAAAAGTATAACGTTAGTGACATAAATAAGCCAAAAGTATAACGTTAGTGGCATGAATAGGGCGGCCTTTTAACGGATAGCATAAATAGACTATTTATATTAGTTGAGTGGCATTTTTAGGCCTTTTCCGTGGTTTAAAAGTTGTGAAAATTGCATAGAAACTGAATGTCGCCCAACATTTTATAATGTTTCAAAAATAGAAAAGGTGTCATATAAATTGAGTAAATCATTTTTTTTTAAGGTGATGGCAGATGGTACACCCCACGGTGATGGTATTTTGAATGCTCAAGGAAAAGCAATATTTTGAATTAAATAATTGCAGGCTTAAGAACTTTTGAACAGTCATTAACCAACCTGCTCAGATGGAAGATCCGGCTTGCTTTTACAAATCAGTGACAAAATTCTCGTGGCTTTACTCTGCATCGGAAAATTGTTGTTCGCCTCCTTTGACTTGTTCAGCAAAGGAATCAAAGCGCCATGGTCAAGAAGACAATCACAATCACCTGCTTGTAGTGTAGCTATAGTTCAATACTCCAATCACATAAAAAGCTCTTCTTTTTTCCAAAGTGTGATTTCGTCTTCCAGTTAATAAGCATTTTAAGCAGTTTTGCCTATCACATTTGAGGTAAGCTTATTGGGATGACCACATTATGGAAAGGGTGATCTTAATAGCTTGAATTTTACCATATTGGGATGTTTTGAAGGATTTTTTAATTTTTCTGTAACTGATATTATAGTTGGAGCATAGTGGCTAAGTAGGGCAAAATAGCTATCACAGTTTATGGGTAAGCAGGAACAGCTTCTCCGACTAAGGTGCTCTGCCTCTTGAGTCCATTGTTTTATACCACAAAACAAACAAAGATCTAAGGTGCTCTGCCTCTTGAGTCCAGTGATCCTCTTTTCAATCTCTGACTCTTTCTTGCGATTAGCTCTCAAGCCATAGTGAACAAGTAGAGGATGAATTACTGTAGGCAGGCATACCATCCTTCTGTTCGATCAAAGGCATCTGAGCCGAGAGTACTCAGATCACTCAAGAGGAGAATGCTCGTCGAGCAATCCCTTTGGCTGTCGTGTATCAAGGAAGTGCTTTAATTGACCATTTGATGATCTAGTTGCCCTGCTATGTCTAGCTGGGGTGCTTGTTTAACCCAAAAAATAGTTTTCAAGGTCAAATTAATAATTTTATATGACGGGCCACAAGCAATCGATTCAATCCGAAAGATATAAAATTTTGTTAATACAACGTGATAGAGAAGTGGGAAATAAATTCAATGACAGATAATATAATAAAAATAAAGCAGAGAAGAAGGAATACTTATTGAATGATCCTTGATAGGATAATAAGCCGGACAGAGCTTGAAGGGCCGAACTTTGGCTAACTTGAGAGCAATATGCTATAAATTACAATGTATAGAATTGTAGAGAAGAGAATTAGATTCCCCTCATGGTTGTAAAAGTACGTCTATTTATAGGCTAAATCTAAGTAACCATTCTCCTTGAATTATGGGCCCATTATGAGCATTTACTCAATCCATCCATTACTTTTGGAAGACTTGTAGCAGCTGTGTAAATGCTGGAATTCCGTAACTGGTGAATTAATTCCATAACTGATGAGTTAATTTCGTAACTGATGAGTCAATCTCGTGCCTGTTGAGTCAATCCCGTGCCTATTGAGTCAATCTCGTGCCTGTTGAGTCAATCTCGTGCCTGTTGAGTCAATCTTGAATTGATTGCCTTGTTCTGACCGTTACAATCATTTATTGCATTTATTGTACGTTACATAATTGATTTGTAACAGATGGTGCAATGATGATAAATCCCATATAATTTGGGATTAATTGATTCCTTCCTCATGAGATATTCTCCCGCACCTGATCCGGCTATTTCATGATGATCAGTTCCGAGGCTAACAGGCACGGTACGAGTATGTTCGGTCCCGAGGGTGTTTCACATATCATCTTTACATGTCATTCTTCACTTTTCTTTAAACTTTGCTGACACGTGTCGCCATTTAATAGACCCATGACGAGTCTAATTTTTACTAATACAGATAGTCCCCCCACTTTTCGGTTACTCACTATGATGTGACCGGGAAGTGGAAGATTTTATCCTTTTCATCCTTGCCTCTGCCTCATTAAAAACCTTGCCAGAAAAACCCAATGGGGACAAAAACTGGACGAAGGAAAAAAGAGTGCAGAACTTAGAGATTCAGATGATAACTCCACCGCATATGTTTCTTTCGTCAATAATCGGTTGGTTTACCCCTGTCTTGTTTCGGGGTTTGAAGACAAATCTTTGCCTTATGTTTGCAAAGTTTGATATATAAATTTCGGCTTTATTTTCTGCCTATTTTTAATGTTTGGGTTTTTGTTTCACCCTTTAACTTTGCATTAAAAATGCTTCAATGCTTCGTGAATTTTTTGAATAAGCACGAATTAAAAGAGGTCACTTTTTTGAACGACACTTTATTTTTATTATATTATCTGTCATTGAATTTATTTCCCACTTCTCTATCACGTTGTATTAATGAAATTTTATATCTTTCGGATTAAATCAGTTGCTTGTGGCCCGTCATATAAAATTATTGCTTTGACCTTGAAAACTATTTTTTGGGTTAAACAGTTTGGTTCCGTTACCGGGAACTCAAGCAAATTTGCTATTCATCCAAAGATAGTAACAATTTTTGTTAATCGCTTGTTTTCAGTTTAAACCTTCATGATGGCTAAAAATTTTCCAATCAACACGGTTGAGGACAACTAAGTTGGAGATGGCTTTACCATGCAAAATAAAAAGGGAATAATAGCCATGATGATGATATATAAGCAACAAGCAGAGAAAAATAGAGAATGTACATCGATATGTTGGTACCACATTAGTACCAAAACTAATTATAACGGATCTGTACGAAACAGTTCCGGAACAGGAGGTTCAGATACACCAGGTAATTTTAATTTGCAAAAATTAGATCTAACCTTATAGAAACAGATCAAGGAACAAAACGAGCGGGTAGAACACCTCCGGGAATTCCTATCTATCCTACAAGAATGATATGCATAACCGTTGCAGCACCGGGATTTAAACAGAAGAAGACACGGTAAATCAAATCGACACTAATAAGATGTCCAAAAACAGGCCCGGAGATCAAACAGATGTGATTCTTGGGCGATCCGAATCTAAACGCAAAAATCTAAAAAAATAGGTCCGAGCAAAGAGATACGATATTTTCTTCACGGGCTGAGAAAGATCCGGATCTACCCGAACAGGTAAGGAATTACCTTGCTAAATTGTAACATTTCATAGGAGAAGAATGAAGATTAGGAGGAACATGGGGAAAACACCCACGGGATTGCTTACAAAGATACCAAACCTAACAACTGAAAAAGAAGAGATAGCTGCGGGATGAAATATCCCACGAGGAAAGAAGGTTCATTAATAACCGTCGACAATTATACAAATATTTTCGGAAGCAATCATTGAACCAAAGGCATTAGAAGCCACAAGGTCAAATGCTGAAGAACTAGAAATTATCATTGACTTCCCAAATAGGAAGGTTTGCGTTGGTCGAGACTCGACACTGAATTTAAAGGTAAGTTGATTAAACTTTTACATGTTAACAAAAATTGCTTTGCTTGCCTCCATGCTAACATAACAGGTGTACCACCGGAGGTAAAGGTTTATATGCTCAATATTGATCCGTGGTATAATCCGGTCAAGCAAAAGAAGAAACTAGAGTCAAATAATAAAAGATAAAGTTACAGAACTTCGAAAGATCGGTTTAGTCCGAAAAGTCGAATCATTCGAACTTGCTATCTAACAACAACGCATCATTACTTTCAAAATTCCGAGGAGAAAGATGATTGCAGCTACACCAAATTGTCTCGGATGTCTCGGTAAATGCAATTTTAATTCAAGAAGATAAAGGTACACATTCTCCTATCTATTATAAAATGCTCTTAGATACGGAAACTACATATCTACATTTTGATAAGTTGGCATTAATTGTAGTTGCCCTAAATCTAAGGCTTTATTTTCAATGTTATTCAATTCCCGTAGTCACTATATTTTCATTACGCAATATTTTGCATAAACATGAACTGTCAGGAAGGCTAGCTAAATGAGTAGTCGAACTAAGTGAATATGATATTGTTTATCAGCCACGTACGACTATAAAATCACAAATTTAGCAGATTTCATGATTAATCTTAGCTCGAACATATTACCGAACATGTTATTTCTGGGATAATTCTCGGAATCTGGACCTTCTACACAATTAGGTCCACAAGTACTAAACTTCCCGAGTTAGGGACAATGCTTAATGCCTATCAGGAAAAGTAGTTAGATAATTCGTAAAAGTTATTTTATTACTAACAATAAAGCCGAGTATGAAGCATATGCTGCAGGGCTTAAATTAGCTTGGGGACTCAGAGCAAAAATATTAATTTAACGATTGATCAAATCCAAGAAAACTATGCAGCCCAGAAAATCGAGCCAGATGTACTAGTCTCGGATCTACTGTTGATATCACTGACTCCTAAATAAACGCCGGACACTTATTGAGAAATATCGTTTCCATATCAAACAATCTCGGGATTGATCCATCTCTTATTTAGGCGATCCCTGATCTATCATCAATATCGAAACTAACTATCCTACTGGGGACTATTAAACTGCTGATTGTCAAATTATGATTCCAGTGTTTGAGTTCTCATACCTCAAAACTCAAGCGCTAGGAAGATTACTTATACTTGAAGATTAGTCAATTTGACCTGACATTATAAGAAGTGATACAAACAATTGATTGCCTTGGGAGATAGAACCTAAGAGTATTACGATATAATTTACCAGCTCAACTCAGTTAGTTGTATTGCTCATATCAAGCATAAACACTTCAAACAGTGTTGAATAAGTTCTTCAAGAGTACATATACTACACGTACACAAAAAGGATCGAGAACTCCATGTCAGAGTCAAGAATCCTACAATAAAAACGAGAGTTTTACATCTAAGTCAAGATAAATGTATGCAAATAAGTCACCTGAATAAAGTTCACTTTGAACAAACACGTGACTCATATTTGGTCCAACAACAACCATTCAAGTTGAATATATACGCCTTTCTTAATGGCTAATTGTATTATGACTCGGATTGATTATCCCGTATATATAAAAAAAATCTCAAATATTATTTCGGACATGTGTCCCTCTCTATTTGGAAGTATATTCATACCCCAATTTGGATTAAAATCCAATCAGATTAAATGTCTCTTTAGAATAAATCTACTAAGATATATATTTATTTGGGATCAATATTACCTCAAACTCAAAGTCTTACCGGGATCAATACTCCCGTAAATCTTTATGGGGTTAATAATCTTGTAAATCCTACCGGGATTAATACTCTCTTAGACTAAAAGTCTACTCGGATCAATCGATCATATTTTACGGCTGAATGAAAAGGAGACGTCCTCTTCATAGCGTTTAAAGTATACAAAAGTTAGACACCCAAAGGTGCAACATTAAGACATCGCACATGTAAAGATGCATCCAAATATATACTTTAATTCTAAAAGACTAAGTATGAGCACTCAAATAATTTTCTAAAGTGCCAAGAAAAACTTGTACTCGGATAAATTCCCTAAAATGCCAAATGATGATATTAGACCCGAAAGACATAAGGAACACTGTATTATTCCCGGTCTAGGTTACAACCCTTCTGATGAAATAAAAGGGTTAAGCAATCATCATCTAAAATATATACCTCCGAGTCCCGTATGTTTTTCCTTTTCACGGAAATGGACAACATGGAAGGAATAATCAAATGCTCGAGATTTCATACTTCAAAGCTCTAACACTTTGGGGACTATATATATGAAAGGCAAAGAAGACTAGAAAAATCAAAATTCAAGTCAAGCCTAAAGTCTACCCAACAAATCAAAAGTTAAGAGCAAAATCACAAGCCAAAAACACAAGCCTGACTCGAAAACCTTTGAAAACATATTTGTAAATATAAACGAATGTTTCAAAAAAGGTTAAAGGCAGAATATTAGTTACGGGTAAAATG